CACACATATGTGTAAGTATTCCAGGGTCTTACTAGATTTCAGAGTCTATTTTCCTTTTTTTTTTTCTTTTAAATGACTTGGGGAACACAACTGGGCAAAAAAGTCAAGTAATTGCGTGCATGCAGGTGTCTCTTGCCACTTGTGCATGTAAATTACTCGATTTGTAAACAACTGCAGAAATAGCATGCTCAAATTAGGCATCTGATTGCCCAATTAACTTGTTCAAAGAAAATCAGATGAGAACCCTCGGTAGCTCCTATAATAAATTCCACTTCTCAGCACTACTTTACTGAATTTATCGTGTATATTCTTAAAAACCGCATTGTTACTTTGTGCTTTTACACAGGCACAAGCAGCGACGCACGCTTAAACAAGCTACCAAGTGGACTTTGGACCAGATTTTGGAAAGCTGCTTAGGTACTTACAGTCCCCTTTAACCAGTGAGGATGAGCCAGCTTATACAATTTAAAAAAATATCTGGTCTAATTTCGAAAGGTATGAGGAAAAAAAATCTGGGAATCCGTGGGCCTCCATGCCTCTATTAACGGCAAAGTTTTGCTTCTGTGTTTTTCTTTGATTTCTTTCAGGTGTCTGGTTTTGTTTAACAGGCAAGTACTGTTTAGCTGCATACATTCATATCCTAGTAAATCCTTATTTTATTTTTGCATTGAAATAATTGTGAATTGACAGCAATTCGATACAAGTTGAGACGACAAAACACCAGCTTTTCACATTTCAGTGTATTTTCTAATGGGCAGAGAAACCAAAGTACCCAAATCTATCCAAGTACTGTAACTAGAGGAACTTGTTAATTCGTGTATCAAAATGAGTTAAGAAATGGACTTTTACCATAAACATGTTGCTCCTTTGCTGTTGTACTTCATTTTCTGAGATGATGTTGTGGAAAGGAGGTATTTTCTTTTCTTTACCAATTTTTGCACCAAGTAAATCTTAGCAACTTGAATTGGGGGGAAAAAAAGGCCAAAAGCTGAAGCAAACCATTATCTTAACAGCGATCTCCCAGATAAGAGAAAAGGAGGCAGAGCAGAATGCTGGGCTGGGTCGTGTCCCTGATCCGGTGCCATGCACAGCCCCAGTGCTGCGTTCACCAGGGCTGCAGCGGCCTCCTGCAGCCACAGCCATGCGGTGCCACTGCTCGTGCCCCGACACGGGAGAGGGGTATGGAAAGCCTCTGCACCCCCGTTACGTTGGTACGGGCTTCGATCAGGCATCCCTGGATTTCTTCCCTCAACTTCTTGTTGGGACAGTGTCTGCTGGTGACTTTCCATTGCTGCTTTTCTTCCTCTAGAGGGTCAAAATCCAATTTGGTACTGAAATGACTTTGTTCCACTCCACTGGTCAGCGCCTGGTTTAAAAATCTTCCAGGAGCACTGCTTGTCCTTCTTGCAAATTCGGACTTTGCTTTCCTCCTACAAACAAACAAATGAAAATCCCAACTCCTCCCCACAACCCCTTTCCAAAAATATAATATAATCATGATCATTCGTATCAGGAGAATTATGTCACGGTCTCCAGTCTTAGTACAGCTCTTGTTGAGTAAACTGTAGCTTATACAACTCTGAAGTGTTTATTAGAAAGCTTTCAAAAAGAGATCTTCGTTTCAGGAAAAGAAAAACTGTTCAGTTTAGCAAATACAGATGTTCACAGCACAGAGACTGAAATGGTTAAAAATGATCCTAAGGAGCAAGTAGCTCAGAGAGTTAGCAAAAAAATTAACTTTTTCCTTTCTTTTACAGAAAAACACTAATAGCTGCTCTGGTTTCCATACTTAGTAAGACAGAATTCTGTGGTATGTTCTTGGTTTTGCGCTTTTTTTTTGCTCTATTGCTCCAGACAGGTTTTGATTAGTGCTTCTCCTTGGCTACAAGTGCTTCACTTTGAAATACAAAGCTCTTTTAAAAAATAAAAACACGCCAAAAAAACCCAACAAACCCCCCCCCCCCCATCACCGGTGGGAACATGGGAAGTGATACAGTGCAGCTGCAGCGATCTGGTTCTGCTGTGGTCCTCCCCCATCCCCAAATCCTCTGCATCATTTCAATCTTTAGTCGATGAACCTTTGGCAGGCCTTCTTCCAGCGGCAGGCAGTGCACCACATGTCTCTGTTCTCCATCCCATACACCTTCCGGCACTTTTTCCCCTCCCCTCTAGGCTTCCTGTCAGAGAGAAAGGGAAGCTTGTTAAGGAAATGCTATGCAGAAGAGGGGAAAAGCAACTAACTCCTAAGCCTGGCAGTCGTTTGCTCTGAGCTCATTGACTGACATACAGCGAAGTGACTGAAAACAAGTTTAACCCTTGCCATCACTTGCAGCATGTTCCCATGTGCCCCTTCTCTGTCGTCCCCAAAGTCGGCAAGGCAAGCAGTATCTGCTTTTAAAGCTACAATTGTCATCTTTTCCATCTTATAACCACGCTCAGAAGTTCACAAGTATAGAAAATGGTCAAAGTAACTGTTAAAATGGAACTTTAATTATTACATAGCAAGCCAGCAAATCTGAGGAGCAATGCTACAAGATGCAACCCAACGGTCACTGCAGCAGGGCCTTTTGTCCTGACACCTTTAAATCAAATAACGGTACGGTTAACCTGGATTACACGCTGCATGGCACACATGGGAACTGCCTGCTGACCCTCTTGCATACCTATGCGTTTTTCGATTACTGAACATTCATTAATGGGCACAATCCATGATTGGGAAGAACCCAACTTTGGTTTGTAGCATATGCAATGAACTCAGAGTCATGAAGAAAAAGAAAAGCACAAAATCTTCCTTTTGTCTTGTTTTAGGGTACAGTCACCTTTAGGACTGTGAGAAATTCAGAGTTTCTTTACCGTAAGACATTCAGCATCACAGTTTGATTTTTTAACATAACTTTTTGAACACTGTTAAAGCAGACCCTGGTCAAACATCAGTTAGCTTCAATGGAAGTGAATTTAGCTCCAGTCTAGGAAGACATGGTATAAAAAGCTTTGCTTTCATTTACTGTAAGATATGGTTTCTTATAATTCAATTGAAGGCAAATACCATACTGACTGAATGGTGACCGACACACACGACAGCCCAGCCTTTCAGGAGAAAAAGCAGAGCCATGTAATGAAGTTTAGGATGCTTCAGCTGGAGCAGTGAATCAGGGCAGCACTGCTTTCCAGGGCAATTTAGCTCTGCAGCTGAACTCCAGGCATGCCTGGCATGCAGCCTGCAGTTTTGCTCCACAGACTGCCTTGTTCATTTCACAGCAACTCACTCTTCCTCCAAACTTTACCTCTGATGGTAATGAAAAGCCAAATAAGTCCAGAGCGCTTACTCTGAAGCGCTGTGGTAAGAAACTGCCTGACAACTGCACTCACGGCTGGTGGTGTGGCTTTTCTGTTCCTTTGGCCACTGACATCTTATTTACTAAGTGCCCTGCAGGTTCTGCGGCTGTTGCTCTGTCAGCAGGAGCTAATGGTCCCATACCTCAAGCCAAACGCTACTCTAGGCGGTGATGAGAGGACTGTGTGGGACTGCTTCTGCTCTCCACTCCCTGCAGGACGAGTATGTGTTGGTGAGACCTGTCAATACAGACAAAAAGCTGCTTACGAAGAACATACAAACAGGAACGCAGTATAAACACTTCTCCCCGAAAATGCAACTCAAAGACGCCTGGTGGCAAGGATGCCCAGGTAAGGTTACTGTATAACACACAAACATAAGTAGTCATAGTAGGTAAATTTAGAAAGATGTCCATGTAGCATTAGGTACATTATATTTGCTCCATTTGTTTCTCTGTCCTTCCAGTCATCCAAACAGAGCAAACCAGAATACAGATCAGCATCATTTCAGGTTTTGGGAAATACAGAAAACACATTCATTCTTATTTAAGAACTCCGAACAGCTCTTACGAAAGCTTTCTCCAATTTAAGCATTGAAAAATAACTGGGAAAATAAACTCCTGCCTGCACCGAGATCAATACCAATAACCCCCTATGGAATAAAGGGATTTCACATGTTGCTCTCATCTGTGACCTGGCACTCTTTGTGGAGAGCCTCGAAGAAGGGCGTTTGCTGTGGGGCAGCTACGATTCGGCTCTCAAGCCTGTAATGGGAGTGCAGGAGCCCTTCAGATCAAGGCTGCTAGAGACGTACTGGATAATTTCCTTTATTCTGCAATGCAAACCTTCTCAGCAGTGTCCTCCTTTGTGGATGATCCCAAGTGAAGGGTGGAGTTTGGTCTTCTGAGACTTTCCAAATAAACCTCCTACATGAGCCTGGGGGGTTGGCAGTATTATCTGAGTAATCACACGGCATAAAGCTTGGCCCTAAATAATTCTTCAATTATTTACTGCTAGGGTCTTATTTTGCTCCTAGGTGAAGGCCACAATCACTAGACATCTAAAACAGTAGAAAAAAATTACAAACATTCATTTGTTGTTATGTACAGAACAGTGCAGGTTTCATTCGGGAGTCAGTGCCTCCTGCAGTCAGGAACTGCAGATTTGTCCTCACTCCCTGCACTGCTGTGACTTTCACTCCTGCCCTTTTGAAGTCTCACAGTATCTGGAAGAATGGGAACTGACTTGACTTGAAGAGATGGATGTTCTTTGATTCCTGATACAAAGTCTATTTTATAGCCACTCAGTAGTAGCAAAAAACTAACTAATGCTTGTAATGGAGTGCAGATGCTCTTTTGACTTTTGGCTGGTAAATACAGAAATTTCTGCTTTAACTGCATGTGCAGCTCACACTCTTTAACGGGTTGAGGCTATTACTGATACAATATTTTATACACTCAAAACATGAACAAAATTTCCTCTCTATGTGCCTGTTAACTCATGTTTTACATAAGCAGAGACCACACCAGGTCCTTCTGTCACTTCTCAATACTGAGGGCAGCTTGCACTCTACTACATGTCCTAGATCTTCTGCAGTCTTTACTTTCAGTCAGTGCTCTCCCAGGATGCCAGGGATTATCCCAATTCCCTTTTTTCATAAATACAAACTTGCATTTTGTACAATTAAAAGACACCAGGTCTGAAGAGGTCCCCACTTCACAAAAAAATGGATCAAGCAGTAACTACATAGTTTTGTTTCCAAATCAATTATGAAAATGGTGAAAAGCACCAGTCCTCACATGGAGGTAATGCTGGCTCAGTAAAGATGTATTTTTAGTTAAGAAAAGTGTTGCATTTCAAAATATATGTTAGACATGTGCAGTTGCCTTTATCCACCAAACCTGTCAGATCCTTAAAGACTGGTATGAGGTTTGTTTGGCAAATCCTGCTTGAGGTAAGATCAGGCTGGTTGGCTTTTCCTGTCTTTTATCAACCACTTCTCTTGTTTCATCTAAGAATGGTCGAAACAGTGGAGATAAAATGCAAAGTAGTAACACTTTACTAGTGCTTGGCATTTACCACACACGGCACAGCTCTTCAGTCATTACCAGCAACCAGAGCTCTCCAGTCTATTCTGCTAGGGTTCTGCTAGACCATTTTAAAACCCAGAAAATTTGGATACCAAATTACTACCACTACTAACTGATAGTCAACATATTCCTTGGTAGTTATTGAACAGAAAAGTGCTTTGATGGCCTCCTATATTATAAGCAATTACCCCACTTGCTCCCAAACACAGAAGAGGCTTGAGCAGTAACTGCAGCGTGCAGACTGCATCACCCCTTGCGTTCTCCAGAGAGGGTCTCTGCGTGATGGTTTCCAGGGATTAGCATACCAAGAAGGCTGAACCACTGAAGTTGAGCTTCAGTGTATTTTGACAGGCTCTGCAGCAGGCCTAAACAGTGCCAGTGAGCTGTACTCCTTTGTAGGCCACACTACTAAGTGCAGATTGAGAAGAGGGTGTGAGAAGGCAATCCCTGCCCTCTGAGGCTTTTCATGTTTTAAGGGTTGTCTACGCAGAGAATTAATGTGAAACTACAGCATCTGTTAGAAGGAAGTACATGGAGTTTCCAGTTACATCTCCTGGGGGAAACTGTGGTTACAGAGATTTGTGAGCTGTAAACATCAGGTTATCAAACCTAAAGATTTCTCCTCTTCAACCTGCTCTTACGAGCAGGCAGGTAAAAATCAATGTCACACAGCAGAGGTCATGCTGGCATTCAAGACAACTTTCATCCTACATTATTAAAAGTGGAACTATCTGGTCATTATGTTAAGTCCTCTGGTACCAAGACATACGGACTCTGCTGTTGCTCACCCCACTTGCAATATTTAATTGGTCCTTCTCATACATTCTCATGCTGTGCCTTATTTTCTCCCAGTTAGTTCTCAAGTGGCAGAGCACACATGAACTTGTCCTTTCCGCTTCATGCAGAGAATTGCACCTAGCCATGACTCATAGTTGTGCCAACACTTGAAATTCTCTTACACCTGCAAAGTTATCTTGGGAAAATGGTAAAAAAAACCCAACAAAAACAAGAAAAGTTCCAACATTACCAGTAATGTGAGGAAATGTGTAGACACACACACTTTGCAAATCTCTACCTGATCCTTTACTGCTCAGTGATTTGTCCAGACCAAAAAAGCATCCCAAAGCCATTTCACAAACTGCTTGAATAAATATTAAAGAGTCAGGCAAAAAGTAATTGTTTGGGCTCTCTGAAGTTCCCTTGGGTGCTACAGATGTATATTTAATCTCAGGGACCAGGTATGTATACTATTGCATGAGTTTATAGAATGCTGGCTCTGTCACATAGTCTGGGCTTAAATAAACCTCGTAAGAGAGGGAGAAGGTCCCCTGTACTATAGCTTTCCTAGAATAGTTACACTCAGTGTAACGGTGGGCTTTGACAGAGCCCTGTTTTCATATGACAATACCTAATTTACTTTGGAACAAGATAAACAAAACTTTCATTTAAGGTACAGTTATTTAATATCACTTTGCATTTGGACCCTCACTTACTGCACACAGTTTTCCACTGCAGGCAAGCCTTTGTAATTCATAGATGATCTCACTGCTGACAGAATAGGCAAACGTGTGCAAGCCTAGATGGTTTTTATTTCTTTTTTTTTTCTTTGCTAAACAGCTTTATAAATGTTGTTAGACACAGATACAAAGGCAGTTCATATGGCTCCCTGAGCGGTTTATAATTCTGCCATCATCACTGCTTCCTCAGGTTTTTGTATTGGGATTGTTGTTAAATTGTACTTAAATCATTGGCATCTCCATACAATTCTCAGAAAGTGATTTGGCATTTCTTAAATTCTGTTGAGAACTCTCAACCCTGTAACTACAGATTGATGCTGCTGCTCAAACGAGTAAACTCAACGCATACGTGTCTAATCCTGTCCTCTTAAGTGGCTGATTTACAATGCGGCTAATTGCATTTTAGATTCCCGACACCCCTGGCATCAATTTCTGCAACTCCACAAAAAACGCCAGTTTCATAATTACTCCGTATCAACCCCATTGTTGGGAAATCATATTCTTGAGGAACTTTATGGATAGCAGGCTCTGTCAAGGCACTCTTGCTCAAATTGCTGCCAGCGTGACGTCTTTCACTGTTAGTTGTTCCTTGATGGAATTTAATAAATATTCATTGGCAGAGCGCAGCGTAATTGATTCAGCCACTTTCATTTTTTATCAGCCCTGCAGGATGCCACAGCCTCTGCAGAAAACCTCCACGATTTGCCAAAGGTTGACAGTAAGAAGCTTTGGAGATTCGCTTGATGAAGAGAAGGAAGGGAAATAGTGTCTCTTATCGCCGTCTCTAATATTCACTGTCAGGAGAAAGCAAGCTACGTGGTTCTGTGGATGAGCAATGTATCTTATATAACACATTTAAAAAATTCACAAAGTGTAATACTAAATGAAAATTTATGATGTCAAAAAGGTTTATGATTAGAGAATATCAATTTATACTGAAAAATGCTCTCCTATAAAAATTAGGGTACCCTGCATTAATATTTATTTCTATTTATTATACGGAAGATTTCCCACCTCTCATAAATAGTGATTTATGTTTACTTTCAGTATTCACTATGCTCGGCACTAGAAGCCTAATCCCTTTGAACGCTTCATAAAGGTTTTTAACTCCCCCTACAGTATCCATAGCTATACTGCGTTACATCTGGCACCACTGGAAGTCTCTGTTTAAGCAAACATCCCACTTCTGCAGTCCTGTTCATGAAATCAGGCCTTGCACACCAGCTTTTTTGAAGAAAGGATCAAAGCTGACTTTACATCTAATACATCTTCATTAAAAATGTGTCAAAATGCAATATAGATTAATATAAAAATGCAACATGTATTGATCATAGTTCATGTACAAAAGCCGAGAATTTTCTGATATCAATAGGGACTATGTATATGTAGCCTACTAAAATCAAAGTTTGCATTTCATCTTACTGTTTCTTTCAGTTGCCTTTCCAATATGCTTCATCTTCAGAGTTCATTTAGGTAGCAGCCTTACTGCTTGAATCCAATTAGCCTGTTACCATAACCATCGCTTCGCTGATTCTCCCTCTAGATTTGTGGCACAAAAACGAGCAGATAGTGCCTGGCAATGCACCCACCAGAATGTTCTTTTGTAAGTATATGGTTTAAAAAATACACACCATAGATCATATTCTTTGCTTGTAGACACTGATGCAAACAAAACAGAAAGTACTGAATTCAAGAGCAATACAGAAGTGTTAAAAGCAGCCATGCTGGTAAACTGAGGCATATATTTAGTTTGTTTCTGTTTGGTATCTGTTATGTCAAGTTCACTTCTATCGTGAGACACAAACAAAAAGTTTAAAAAATATCTTATTTCTTTCTTTCTTTTTGGCGTTCACTTACTGGAATGCCGGTGAAGGTAACTGGAGGCGACTGCCAAGAGATGCTAAAGCTACTGCCATTGGGAGTGAATTTTGCTGACCCTGGAATGTTCACCGGAGGAGTGGCCTGCATGGAAAGAAAACATCGTTCCAGTCAGAAGAACCATTTGTCTTCCTGAGCATCTCAAGGGATCTTTCACTCCTTGAAACTGTAAATCTACTGGAGACTTTCCAAGGTGGAAAACAAGTTTACAGTGCCGACGATGAGAAGCATTTTATCCTTATGAGAAGGATGACCATGGATGAGCCAGTAAGGAAGGGACATATTTGTATATCACTGTTCTTAAAACCTTGTTTAGACAATGATGATAGCTCTCACAAGAATCCATGCAAAAAGCTAGATCAGATAAAAAAGCACACGAAATCAAACATCGCATACAAACGACGTTTAAAATAATGCCAGCTAGCAGCAAAAAATATTACAAACAATCACCTGTTCCACAGCGATAAACAAGGCAGTATTGAAACTGACGGCAGCTGGTTTCAGCAACTGGAGACTGGACAGCGAGGCTTCTTGGACAACAACAGGGCTAATGATCAACAGCAAGGGTTGGCCATTTCTCGTTTATCAGATAAATGTTGTTAAGAATCATCTCAATTAAAACAGTCTTTCCTATTAAAAACAAGGAGCTGAAAATCATCCTTGGGATTCAAAAAACCAACTCTTAAAAGACTAGGCTAAAGCAATATCTGAAGGAGAGCTGAGCCCCTTGAACTCTTACGTTTTTCCCATCGGGGCTGTAATACCCAGTGCTGCCCTGGGGTACAATACCCAATAATCTGAGCTCAGATTGTTGAGCATTTCTCATATTCTGCCTTTTCTCCAGTTTTCTCACTGGGCTATGAGCCCTCAGGAGTTCTCCCCTGCCCCTTTTGAATCCCATTTAATTTACAGAGTCAGGAAGTTCATAAACTCATAAAGCATTTCCTATGAAAAATTAGCTTTAACTTCTGCCTTTCAGTTGCCTGTGCCTGACAATGACACAATACACTCATTTAAGCGGTGTCTGTGTTTCAGATTGCTGAAGTTGTCTCACCACTTCAAGGAAGAGAGTGCTTCCCTGAGCTGCCAGGCAGAGACCAGTGATGACAAACCATAGCCTGATAGTCCCCATTACAGATAATCTTCAGAGTAAACAAATGCTGGAGAAATCCTCTGGAGTCTCTCCAAGGAGGAGCAATGGAGACCAGCGGATGCCTGTGTCTATGGCAGGGGGGCTCTCCGGGCGGCCCG